TTTTTCCCCCCCCCCCAGCCACTAGGCTGCGGATATGCAAAGGGCTGGGAGGGAACACATTTGGGACCAAGATGGATTTCATACCATATATAACATAGTGCTCAGCAACAAAACTGGGGGACAGCTTTTTCCAAAGCAGTCAATGGTCAGGGATGGGCTGGGCATCAGTTTGTTGGTGGCAAGTGCTGGCTTTTACATAACTTGTTCATCCCTCACTCCCCACCCCTTTCACTTATTATTATCTTTATCTTGAGGCTTTTTTCTGTTGCTTTTGCCCTTCCAATTCCCTCTCCTGTGCCAATGCAGAAGGGTGAATGAGTCACAGAGTGGGGACTTACCTTCCAACCAGGGCCAATCCACCACAGAGTGCTAGAGACCTCTGCCTTTTTGGTGCAAATGAGTTTATACTACGTAAAAAGTGCCAGGAGAAGAAGGTGAGACTATGTACAACTCATATTATTCCTGCTTTGATAGCAGAGTCTTTGCTAGTAGTATTCGGAAAACATCTTATGTGACATCAAACCACAAAGTATGCCACTAGAAGAGGTCATCAAGAAGCCATCCTTTGCCTCATTAATACAGTAAACAATGATACAGCAACAGCATAGACATAACAGATCAAAGATGTATAATCTCTACACTGCAAAGCTACTTTTTTTGAGTTACTTTTAAAAAAACTGCACTTTAAAGTCTTGTTTCAAAAGACACACAAGGCAAGCAGGTGCTTCAGCTAGCTCAGAAGAGAGCTGCCCAAAGAGCAATGAGATGCACTGCAGGTGACAAGCCAGCTTATAGCCTAACAAGAGGGTGTCTTTCCCACCTGCAGCTGACTTGGAACAGGATTCTATCCACCAGAAAAACTGGTCTCCTCACCTCCTCAGGAATCAGACAGACATTATTGGCTACTGAAACACAACTGCAACCATGTAGTAAAGTGTGTTTAAGGTAATTCTACAACACACATCTGCAATTTACCACCACTGACTTTCTATATGCAGGGAAAGGAGAAAAGCGTGTAGCACATGGAAGAAGGATGGGAAAACCATTCACAGGCACTAATGAATGGCTTTGAAATTCCTGAGAGAATAATATTGAAAATTCTGAAAGCTGAAATCCAGCCAGAAATGGGCAGAGAAACCCTAAGATTTTCTATCTGTTGGCTCACTGATTTTTAAAACTGAAGAAATCAAAACTCTGGGAAAAAAACCAGTAACCTCCCAAAAAATCTAGAAGACAAACAATGAACCAAATAATGTCCAAGTGAGACACTATCTTAGGCAACAACAGCTGCACTCTGAATAGCTTCACTACAACTTGTATAGAAGCATCAGAAAGTTCAACAGAAGTTGAACTCAAACTGATTCAAGTGTTCAGCAAACTTTACAATAGCTTCCTGAGTATCACAGAGGATAAGAAGTCTAATGTCACTGCAAAAGAAGGAATGAAAAAGCTCAGGTAGGCTGAGGGGAAGCCTGAGCAAAAAAAAAAGAGTGTTTCTGAAAAACTAAGGTCAAACACTTCATGCACATTAACAGAGACAAGTCTTCCCACAACAGTTCTGCCAAAAGACACAGGCAGAGGTAAGTAACTAAATGATTTTTAGGACTTTTTTTTTTTTTAAATTAGCATATTAGTGATTTTTGGAGGTGTTTGGATTAAGCAACATGTTATATAGTATCACAGAAGTCTCCATTTCTACAGCTCAAACTGCACCCTACAGACCATTTCAATCAATACCACTGACTGTCAGCCAGTGCCAGCAACTCTAAGTAGAAAAGTCGAGATGAAAAACCCAACAAAAAGATGCCAGGCATTGTAGGAAGAAGGAAACTTGTGCCTTTCATCTCTTCTATCATCTAAGGCACCTTTGCTCATAAGCTTGTATCTACAATATATAGGGTACTCCAAGGCACATGCCACTTGCATGTAGAATTTTGTTCCCAAACGCAAAATCCAAGGACACTGCTTCAGTGGGGTCAAAAGAGAAGCTGCCTTTTCATAAGGAAACTTCCAATTTCCACACTTTTGGCTGTTACTCCTGAGAGACAGTGCCTATTGACACTTGAATACCCTTCAGCCATGAATGCAGTGAAAGAGAAGATGGGCTAATAGCTAAATAGGTCAACATGTCATACTTGGACCTGAGAATGTAATTTCTGACTCCTCAAGAAAATTCACCCACACTCTGTCTGAAATACTTAAGAATGAGCTAGTGGATATGTGCACAGTCCTCTGTGAAAAGCTAAGTAACAAATCACTCTCGCACATACAGATTGTACAGTAACTGCTGAACAGACTATCTGGTTCTTTGAAAATGGCCACATCCCATCCTGCCTTTAGATTAAGACCTAATACAATGAACTGCCAAATACAGGACCTTTGCATGGCACACTCAGGTATGAAAACCACTGCTTTTCTTTTAGTAGAAATGAACTGAACTAAACCAATATGGAGACATGAAAATACAGTATGTGGACAATGGCGTGTAGGAAAGGCTGAACAAAGGGGCATTCCCAAGCCCCTGTGCTGGTTTTGTCTGGGATAGAGTTTATAGCCCTTTTCAGGCTCTCACTAACAGGGGCCCTAAGGTCACTCTGTTTAGGTACACTTGCCCATGCAGGAGTTTACAGGATGCCTAGCTGGGATATGCCTGTCTCATGGTGACAGCAAGCAAGTACTCCAAGACTTCAAACAAATGACACTTGTCAATATTCAATACAAAGATAACAAATGATTGAAAAAACAAACTAACCTAAAAGGCTTGCTGTTAGGCAGTGGACTCTGGATGAGATTTCTTACAGAAAACTTAAGAACACTTCTAATGTTAGCTTACTTGCTATTGTTATACAGCCATCTGTAAGTGTAAACTAAGCCTTTATCTCCTGCTTATTGCATACTCTACATGGTTTTTCCCTTCCCGAGCATTTCAGCAGTTGCCATAGGATTTAACCACCTGGTAATCCCAGGCTCATCCGTGTGCTCACTGAAGGCGGCAGGGATTTATTTCCTCCTGGGAATACGTCCTAAGGCCAATGGCAGCTGCTCTGGCAAGCAGCAGGCAAGAAAATGAACCCACTCCATGTAGCAAACCACAAATGCATTTCCTCTGTATCCCCACCCTGCTTTCACAAAGCTCCCTATTTTAAAGGGCCTGATAAAGTAAAGAACACTTCAACATTATAATAAAAAAACACCAGGACAAACAGATTCGTCTGATGATCTACTTTTAGGTCATGATCTTTGGAACACTACAGCATGCAATCTCCAGGCATCTGAACACTCTGAAGCGAGTAAAAAACAATCCCCTGAGCTAAGACTCAGAGGGATGCCACAAAGAAACATCCACTTTAAGCTGATGCTTTATTTCTAATCCTGGAGGCCAGAGACAAAAAAAATACGTCGATAATCCCTTCCCCAAATAAATGCATTCCTCTCCTTGCCTTCCCAAAATGAAAGCCTTAACTGAGAGCTCAGTGTAAGTGAGCATTTCTTCACAGCACAAGGCAGAAATAATGACTGTGCCTGTTGCTCATTTTTGCATACAAGCGGATTAGTGACTCACTGCAGACTGCTGACTTCTATGTGGTGGGATGTTTTGGCACAGATGCCAGTGGAAAGAAGAAAAAAAGAAATCAGTCACAGCTCCAGCAAATGTTGGAGCAGGCCACCTGCACAGATTCAGTATAGCTGAATTTTTCAGCCATTTTGTGACATTATTGTTGTATATTCATGCGTCCAGTTCAAAATGCTTGAGGCAGAATTTGCGAAAGTATTACTGCCTGTGCAATCCTGCTCCCACTGAAGATCCCCAGTGGGAGCAGAATTTGGAAAATTTGGAAAGCTTGGGGAAAAAAACTGCCTCTCATTTAAGACAGTTCAAATTTTCCCTTATACATGTAGTAGATTTGGAACAGCTTTCAAATTACATGGTTTTTGAGGTGTTTTTATATGAAAACAACTGGCTGAACTGAGGACTGGTCATGACAAGCACAATGGAAGGAGTCAGTGAACACTGTCTCACCAATTTTCTATTAAGGAGTAGGAAAATGTCCTAAGAATCGTGGCTGTTTGGGTTAGGTAGCAGATCAGGGTTCCTGCAGGTGTAGGTTAATGGCATTTCACAGAAAATCAGTCTGGCATCATTCAGTGAAAATTACAATGTACTAAGGCATAGAGCCTTAGTTATAAGGGGGGTGGGCAAGACACAACCCCAAAATCAACAAAAACATTTATCTCTTTTTATTCACCTGCTATCCCAGGGAAGTTTCAGTGTGCAGTACTCCGACCTATTTTCCACCTTTTAAATGTAATTTAGTTGCTAGTGATGTGTAGACTGCAAAAATTAAGTACTTATCTAAGGAGAGAGAATGTCTGGGAAGATTATGATCCTGCAGATGCTTATTCAGAAAAAGTAGGGAATTATTTTAAAGATTTTACCAAACCTAGCTCCTTAGTAGTTATTATCTATTATTGGAAACATCCAGAAGCCCCAGTCACTAGCAGGCAACATTTGTGCGACACCTCTTCTAATTACCTTACAGAGACCTCAAGGGAGAACCAAATAGCAGGAGAAACTCCACAAGACACAAAGCACAGCAGAGCAAACTTAAGGTCTTCTACATTCCAACAGAGTCATACATATAACACTTAATGACCCTTCATGGCTCACGCTCATCACATTGCAAGAGTAAGATGTTACTTCTGTTTAATTCCAATGGGGTACAAAACCATAATAATTAAAAAATCCAGAACCATTCCAAATCAAGCTCTATCATTTTGCAAAATATGCCATCTTCATTCCCTGCAATATTTGCAGAAGCCTAGTATGCAGACCTGTATTCTTAACACCTTTGGAAGTCAGTATTCTCCGTCTTTGGACTTGTCGCAGTTCACAGACAGGCCAACAGCATGATGAGGCTTAATGGCCTGTCTGTACATCACAAAATGAATGTTTGGCTCAACTAGAACAGTTTCCTTACTAAACTAGTAAGCTTGCTTGTATGCTGTTTCAAATCCACAACTCTAATTTTAAGCATCCTAACAAAAGAAAACCAGTTAAAAATCAATCCATTGCTATAGGATTTCTTTTCCAAAAGAATTATGGTTTATCTGAAAGTTCTTCAGCTACTTCTTGATTGCTGAACTTCACTCTCCCGGGAGATGGAGTGACTGACAAAAGCTGACACCTTGTCCAGCTACCTTGAGTGAGTTCAGCATTTGTTGATAGTACGAGCAGGTATCACTAGCTCCATCTAGGTTTAGTCTGGGGCTGTGGTTAGATGTTCACTACAGAAACAGCAATATCACTATCAGATATTCCTGCCCTCGGGCTGCTTGTTGCAACCCTACAGCTCAGTTGGTGGAAAAGTTCATGTGACTGTTTACCATCTGCTTCAGTGCAAACTCAGCTGGCTTAGTTTTAAAGAACCCTTATTGTCAGCTAGAGGCAAATGCTCCATGGCCTCCGCCCCAGGGCTGTGTCAAAACTATTTACATCAGGTGTGTAAACTGCCTTCAGTTATGTTTCTGAACTTCCCTTGAGACATGGCCAAATATATTTCAAAGCTATTTAAATGATACAAACAAGGATAAAAATTAAGCTCTCACACATGAACCTAGCCAAAAGCAGAATGCACTTCTGGGCTACCTAATCTGAGGTAGGTAGGATTCTAGCGTGCCATTCCCAAACAACATAGGGCCTGCAAAATTTGTAGACATAGAGACACTTGAACAGGTAAATACTGCAGCAGGAAATCGAAGCAGCTGCTATTACAACGTCAAATGCCAGAACATGGCAGATGAGATCTTGTTCCCAACAGATGTTGCTTAATTAACCACCATATTATCACACTGTAAAGCAATTCTTTCATGCTCATTGAAGAAGTTCTGTTGAATACATATCATAAAAAAAGAGAGGCATTTGAAGTCAGAATTCACTTGGTATCAGCACAAGTTGCCTGTTCCACATCTAATTATATAAATACAAAAACCAGTAACAAAATTGGCATTCACTAGAAAAGAACAGCTGCTCAATCCTGCATACTGTAATGTGATTATTTGTGAAGCAGGCAAAAGGCATAGAAGTAATACAGGGTCACCTGGCTAAAATACCTGTCTTAGATGTGAAAACCTGCCAGTCAGTGGAACTACCACAGCAGCAGAAAAGGAAACTAGCTTCACACCATGAACTGTGCATAATGAGGACTCTTTTTAGGTACTTAATTCCTTCATTTTGAGATGCTTCTGTACTGCACATATGCATCAGGATTTCCGACAGAGTCTAAAAGCAGTTTTTCCTAACATATTCTCACTTCTCTACGATCTCTGTGTTACAAGTTGTTTGGATATAGAACAGCCAAATGTGCCAAGAGTTTCTCCCCCCAACAGCCTCAGCAGCTGAGCTGGCTATAAAATTGGTTTTCCTGTCCTTTAAACTTTTGTTATCATGTCTGAACGTTTTTGCTCCAAACTTATGATAGGATTTATAATCTTGATTAAAGAGAAAAAAAAATCCATGTATTTCATTCAGACATCTTTGGAATCTTACACTTTAATTGACAGAGCCTAAAGTTATAGTGAAATGCAGACCAGCATAAAACTACATTTTAAAAAATGCAAAAATGTAACCTTTTGACTATCTGCCCTTTTCCTCCATTTTCTCCTCGGAAAACCTGTCAAATTCACTTCCCTCACAAACACTCATGTTTTTGACGAATCTGCTTGCTATGAGGAATATATTCCATATACAAACTCTAACTAGTTCTACTCAGGTTGAAAATCAGGAGTCAACAGCACAGCCAACCCATGTAACTTCAGTGCTAGAAAAATGTTTTCTTCAACTCCACAACTTTTAAAATATAACAGTAAATTAAGAAAGTATAAATTTCTGAGCATGGCATTGATTTTGTTTAAGAATGGCACATGGTAATTTACCTTTGTTGGATTTTGGTTGTTCAGATGAGCCGCTTCCAAGCTTTCTCTTTTTCCTCGGAACAGCTGAATTTTTCCTGTCAAAGGTAATAGGACTGTATTGAGGGAGGCTGTTGAATTTCTTTTCAAATTCTTCTTCCAACTTTGCTAAGCTAAAGGGGAAACAAAACCAATCAAATTAAATGTAACTCCGTTTCTGGAGAAAAAACCAGATTGTTTAGGAGCATCTGTCCATGTATACACATCTAAATAACACAGAGAGAGGGGGAGAGAGGTAAGTGCACACACACTGTAAACACCAAACTAGTACATATTAATCCAATTTTGGGATGAGAATGTACACTCCAGCTCCTGCGTTTGTAACTCAGTACAAATTGATTAGATTAGTTCTATACATTAAAACTAGGGAAAAAAACCCCAACAAATCAATGTCACACTGGTGACATTTAGCTCTGTTTCCTGCACAGATTCATAGAGGAATTTGCCTATTCTGTGAGGGGAATGAAAAAAAAAAAAAAGACAATAAAGCCTATAAATAAACAAACCAATAAAATATTTTCACCTAAAAGTTCTTGCACAAGAATGAAAACAACTATTCAAACTAGACAAAAAATGTCAAACTATTAAATATTCTGCAGATATTCTAAAACCTGATGCTTTGGGATAGCAATGAGCTTTGTATGTGTTCTGAGGGATTATAATTCCTCCCCTTGTGTTTCATTTGCTTTTAGGTGGAAAATCCAACTAGCTCATGCTTTCATGAAACCAAGCAATCCACATACATCTGACCAAGCTGAATAACTGTAGCTTTACCTACAACTCAAAAAATCCACAGACATAGTACTGTTGTCTCTGACAGCCACATGAAAATAAACAACCAACAGGATGGTATGGCACAGCATTTCTGTCAACAATGACTATGCTGTCTTGTATAAGCACTGTGTTCCAGAAATGTTTTGCAACCAGGCAGGAGCATAGAAAGGAACTGTGTTTAAAACAAAAGGCAATGAGCACAGCTAAGTAGATTATAAATAGCACTGTCAATGACAGGGGAACAATGATATTTTCCACTCATCTTTAATTCTGTTTGCTACAGAAAACCTGAACTTGACAGAAGTTGGCATTACTTTTGGAGGGATGGACGTTATGCACTGTACACTTAGAAGCATCACAAGAAACACGATGCTTCCCTCTGCTCTGTCAAGCAGCACTTCAAACAAACTGCATTCTGAAAGCTTTGGTATACAGAATGATAATTCATTTTAACTCTGGAATTATTAGGTCTTTTGGCAATCTTCCATCTTAAAATACAGCCTTGGGTCTTGGCAGACTTTGTGCAAGGTGGGGTTTGTTCGTGTTTTTTTGTGTGTGTGTGCACCTTCTGTTTTGTTTTTATATCACCAAGATACCTGACACGAGTGGTGCTCAGTCTGCTACCTTTCTCTTCCATGCAGATGTTCCCTGACAACCACAAAACAAGCCCATTTTCTGCTCTGACAGCTGACATGCAACTCCATCCTCCACACCAGTTTCTCTCCCACTGCCTGTTGCCACTTGCCTCACCTCCTCCCTCAAGGGCATATGAGAGGCAGTGGCTCTAATAAGGAAAGAACTACCCTGAAAGCAGACGAGCTGCCACCCTGCCTAGTAATTTATAGCTTGTGAGACATGGAGGAGAGTGCTATCACCATGTCAGCAATTACTTATTATTAAAAAAAAAATAAATCATTCACATTGTAACGAATTTTCAGAGCATCTCACAAGCCTGGTTAGACAGGTGTAGCTGAGCAGAGACCTTCATGCCGTACAGCCCAGCCCTGCAAGGAGATTCATGCAGGCAGAGAACTACTCAGCAAAGGAGGAGGCTGCACAAGGACAAAGAAAATTTGACAGGGACCATTGGGGAAATGTGGGCAGCTACTGATGGAGGAGGTAAGATAAACAGGGGAAAAGACAGAATTCTAAAGGGGTAAGGACCCTCTCCCCTACACACATATGAAACAAGGCTGAAAGGTGATGCTGAAGGGATCAGAAAGAGTTGGTAGGAGCAGGCAGATTTAAAACCAGCTCTTCAAATAGCCAGAAGATCATGTAGTGCAATGAACAGGGATAATGGATACCTTCTCTAACACTTATGTTTCACAAATTACCAATTCTGCTTCTACAGAGTTCACTAAACAATATTAACTAATACCATGACTGAATCAAGAAGCAAACATGTATTGGCAAATATGATTGGCAAAAAAATATGATTGGCAAATATGTACCTTCCCCATCCAACCAGCTAATGATAGTAGGACAGCATTTGTTGTATAAATTAGTGATTAATACATTTTTCCTAGATAAACTAGTATAAAAAGAGTGAATAATTGTAAATACTTTTTTTTTTTTTTTTTTGCTAGGAGATGCATTCAGTTTTCACACCATTAGATGTAAAAAGTTTTCAATCTTTCAATTTAAATTTAAAAAAGTTATTAAACTTACATACAATGCACTGAAAATGCAGGAAGTGTTTCCTTAATTTTTCTTGACTATTCAAAGACTTGGGAGATTTTAATAAATTTAATGTCTTTGCTGTGAAGTGAGCTGCAGCTGAATTTCACATTGGCTAGGTTATAAAAAAGGCTACTGCAAGCCTGTACAAAAGAAACGTATTACAATTTTAAGCATGAAGTATGAAAAACCTACTCCTTTTAAATTAATTTTCACTCTCTGAATATAGTTAATTGGAAGTCTTAAAGAATTTGCAAGTAAGTATGAAGGGCTAAGCAGAATTAACAGCTATGCCTACAGCTAAATACATCTGTAATACTCTGAACAAAAAATTGTTATGCATACTCTAGAAAAGTAATTCTGTGTGGCCTTGCTAAATTTTAATGCATTTGTAAACATTAATCATTCTTGTGATATATTTAATTTCTTCATGGTACCCATGAACAGTTTAAATATCTTGTCACTACACATTTGCCAATATGAACTGTGTTTATTCTTCCTCTGTAAGCAATCTCTACAAGCCGGCAATGTGCTCTGTTCTTTCTAGCTTAATTCTGTTTATGATGATTGAATGCCTACACAGAGCTTTAAATACAGCTTGTGAAGTGCTCTGAAAACATAACTAATCCTCTTCAGCAACTCTTGAGCAGGTAAATATTGCACCTTTTTTTTTGAAGTGAGTAAATAACGTCATTCAAATCTGTTTACAGTACCGTAAACCAGGAAATATCTCTAAGGAATTACTTTGGTATATAAACAAGAGTATCTAGAACATGACTCAGTCCAGGAGGTTTGTAATTTTCAGGAAATCTGTCTTATTCTCATTATTTGGGTGTTGGATGCAGTTCACTTAGCTGTAATGAGAAAGACTCACTCTTAAGTTACCAGACTGACCTAAAAAAAACTTTGGACAGTGTTAAGCTGCAACTTACCCAAAAACAAAGTCTTCCTTTGGCTTAGTCTTTTTCAGTTTTTTGTTCCCACTTGTTCCACTTTGGGAAAAAGCCCAGTTTTCTTCATTCCAGCATCCTTCATGATCTGATGAGTTGCCTTTTCCTGAGCTTCTTTTTCCTGAGATGAAGGCAGAAAATGGTTTCTCATCTTTATAAAAACATGCCAAAACAAAGTGGGCTCAGAGGGAACTTAGGTACCCATTCAGTACCGCAACTTACAATGACCTGCTTGAAGGGGCTACAAAACACTTAAACCGGATGATATTGGCAGAGATTTCCTCCCCTTCCCCCCAGTTTTCATACTAACTCTAAAGTCAGGATCTCTCAAGGTATAAAGGAGGAGAAAGAAATGAGTGGATTTACAGTAATAAACTTCCCTAAATTACAAACACTTTTTTATTTTCTGACTGTTCTAATTACATATATAAGTCTACTAACCAAAAAACTGCATTTCAAGACATCTCACTGAAAGGTTTCAAAAATTATTTCAAGTTTATCCTTTCACAAGGTAAAGGGTTCTCACTCACCACTTACAGCGAACCTAACAACCAGAGCAAGAGCAGAACACATTTCCCTCTTGCAGGACTGAGGACTTGAGCTCTTGCTCACCACCACACAAGCTGTCTGTATAGAAACATGCTAGTTGTACAGGGTGACATTCAGTACAAGTTCCACATTCACCCATCAGCAAACCGACAAATTAATCAACAAAACCTTTGGTCAAAAAGCTAAATCTCAGATTATGAAAGACAAAAGGGGAGAGGTTAAGAGCTTGTGAGGTAAGTAGAAACACAGATTGCAGGATTCTGAAGACTTGCTCTGGACCACAGGCTCTGTCTCCTCCATCTGCCTGCAGCATCCCAGGCGACCAGAAACAGCATTCCCATCACCCTCCAACCAAACTCCAGATTACACGTGGACTTTTGTTTTTCCTCCCACTTCAGGCAGGATTTTGCAGCTCATGCTGCAAAGGGAACACTGAAAGCCACCCACCTCTGTCCACGTTAGCGCGCAGAGATGTGAGCATGCCCTCTGACACCAGAGTTTTATAAAGAGCACCTTTGCAAGATCTCTCTGACTTCCTGGAGCCACAGGTTTCTATCTTTTTAACACAGTCACTGTCCTCAGTTTTGACCTGTTCTGGCAAGCTCTGGGGTACCACCTCCTCTGTTGGGGTCAGTGGTTCTACTTTAATATTATCAGAAGCCTCACAGGGTACTTCCTTGCTGGCAGCAATATTAAGGAAATCGGGAGGCTTAGATTCTTTGGTGGTCTCCAGGGGTTTCTCCTTCGATGTCTTCTTCTCTTTTGATTTCACTTTTTTCTTTGGTGATTTTGTATCCAACACGCTTCCCTTCACATTTGAGACAGGGCGGTTTTTTTTGCGGGGAGTTTCCGCGAGTCTCTCAGCACCCCAGTCCCCCTTTGCAACAGCTTCAATCGTGTACATCACACTTTCAATGTCTGACTCGGAGGACTGCCTCTTTTTACAAGGTTTCTTCGGGGTGGATTTCTCATTTGTGTGCCGGTCTAACTTATTTTTTTTCTTTTTCTTCTTTATCTTTTCTGGTTTTAGCCCAAGGATATTAATGTCAGCCATTGAAAGCTCTGGAGAGCAGCACATGTCCTTTGTGTCATCTTTTCTCTCAAAAGGATTGCTCTCCATTGCGAGACTAGTAAAATCTCTGCATTTTGCAGTTTCTAGTTCCTCAACTTTTGTCTCATCCCAGTTTTGCATTTTCTCTGTTTGTTCTATTTTTCCTTTAAAGGAATCTTGTATTGTTGTCTTCTCCAGTTCTTCCACTTCCATTTCCTCTGGAACTTCCCTTCCCACATCTTTGGGTGCTTCCACTTTTGTTGTCCCAGGTTCTTTTACTTTTACTCCTTCTGAAGCAAGGCACATCTAAAATGAGTTTTAAAAATACTCTCATGAAACAAACATCAACTGTTAACATTACTTACCTATATTAACAGGAACTTCACACAGGGCATCTCTCTGGCATCTTAGTTCAGGACAGTACTGAGAAACACGCTGAAGCCCTTCTGAAACTGATGCAATGTGATGATGATGGCTAAGTGCTAGAGTAAGGCTGGTGGGAAGACTCCCAACTGATCTCAGTGGTGTTTCCATGACTCATTAAGTGCCTTTTATACAACTTGGAAACCCAACTGCTACATGGAATTTCAGAATACCTTAAATGCAACAGAATACAATATCTCTCACTACTGCCACAGACAAGTTACTTGAAATCTCATATCCATACCCCTTCAACTCCCAAAAGTCCTTGTATACAATTCTTTCCTCCATTTTCCAAATGGCCCTGAAGGAAGGGGGGAAAAATGTTAATTGAATCTCAGTAATCGAGATTATTCTTTTACTTGAATGTACAAAATAATTTGGAAGGCAGTAAAAAAAGACTTCCAAATCTTTCTTCTCATGTCACAGACTTATTTTGCAAAAAGCTGCAAAGCAGCAGCGGTTGCCATGGTTATCTTCTCCTGGAGATAACATTAGTGGAAACCAAAACCACCATACTGTTTGAGGAACAACGATATTCAAACGAGTTGTGAAAAAGTCCTCAAATTGTCAAATTCCTGGAGCACCGACCTGGTAGATCCTCTTGGTTTTGGACTACAGTACCACTGCTAGAGAGGGTAGTCCTTTACAGCACCAAGCAGCTTCCCTTGGGAAGATGTGCTTTCTTCTTCTTACTCTCCCCCTCAAAAGCCCCTCAAATTGAATTCCCAGTGCTATTTTGTTCTTAAATCAAATGTCAACCAAATAGCCACGTGGAGCAAAACCAGATGGGAAAAGGCTTGATTTTAACCAGACATGAGAAGCTTCCTTCCTGAGCAACAGCTCAACTTAGGGGCCATGTGGTCAGTATGGATGTACCCTCCAGATCACTCCATTCTCTTCAGGTCAATTCTAGATTCCTCAAATCAGCAAGGCCCTTCTTCCTTGCCAACTTACACCATTACACCAGTATCTCTTACACCAATATTTGTATGAGCATAACACTAACGATAGAGCACTGTAGTAAGTTTCTGAAATTCTTGCTGTACTGAGTAGATCTGGCTGAGGTCAAGCAAGCTAGGTTGAATACTGGACAGACTGAAGCTTGGGCAGCACAGCGTCTATCAGGAAGTGGCTTAAATTAGGTAGAGGGAACCTCACAACGATGCTAAGACACGTTCTTAGTACCAAGGTACTTTTGTCACTTTTTTTCTGCACTGCGATGTAAACATAGCCTGTAGTTTTAAAAACTGAAAAATCAACTTTTAAAATGCAACTCATTGGACAGTAACAATATTTTGTCAATGAAATGCACACACCCTTTGCCAACATTTTTTCTTTAGATCTTTACTGCTTCTGCAGTGGGCAGTAGTAAAGAGGGCTACAGATGTAGTTACAAAGAAGTGACTTCCATTTTGGGCGCTCTAAACAAACTTGCAATTTGTAATCTTTAAGACTGAGAAAGCTTAAAAAAAAAAAAGCAAGCTTAGAAACAAACAATCCAACCTTTCAATAAGAGGTCACTGGCTTTAACTGTTTCCAGAAGAAAGATCTGCTGAGTATCATAGCAGAGTTTCTATGTAAGTTATTGACCTGTTGATTCCTCACATAAAAAAAACCCAATAGACATGAAAAGCAAAAATAAATGAAAGCATCCAATGATTTTGCACAGGTATTTGTAATGGCAATGCCCTAAACTGACTAACAGAGTAATTCAACCCTCTCTCCCAATTCCCTGCACACCCCCAGGGCTAAACCAAAGAGTTAAATCCCCAAGCCCTAAACCAAGAAATCAAAACATTTTAATTGGTAATGGGAAAGTCCCTATGCCATATGTGACTGCCAGTACTTCTCAGCTGCAGCACAGATTCTTCAAAACCTTCAAGATGATGGCTAATATGGGGAAATCTAGATAAGCAGTACCCAAACCATGACAATTTATGCTTCTCTAAGCAACAGTATAATTATAACTGAAGCACTGTTCTGGCTTCCAGACTTCAGCAATCAACCTAATTAAGTTCTCTGCCCCACTGAATCTGTGGTAATTAGTCACCAGTATTTTAATATTACCTCTGCCAGCTGAAATAATGCTGATGTTCCACATTGTTTTGTTAAATCAGAAGGACTTGAATGTGATGTACTTGAAGAAATCTAAAGAAAAAACAGAGGAGGAGAAAAAAGAAAAACATTATTTTACCAGCACAATTATTTTTTGTCTACCACATGGCTTTTGAGTTGATTATTTCCTCCCTCGTCCAAAAATTAATTGATAAGATTATACACTGAAAAAGAAGTGCAGACTTGTGTATGTTGTTATAAATAAACCCCTGGTGGTGGTTTTGAAGGCTCATTTGGACATGTGACGGCAAAATAATTTCATTATCGTAGCTCAAGGTTACTTCCGTCCAACTATGGCACTGCTTGTTGATGTCCTATAGGACTCATATGAGAAAGATGCTACAATACCAAAGTGAAGGAAGAGCTTCAAGCCTTTGGAAACCTTTACTACTCCTCAAGAGTATGGGAGGCTGCCTGGCCAGCAAGTAGCTGATTATTCTCCAGAATCTTTTTCCTGTATCAGGTCATAATCCTCTTCGATGCTTTATTGTTTGTTATCAGTTTTGAGCTAGGTGAAAAGAAATTATCTTTTTCTAAAGAAATTAAAAGGATCAGTCTCAGAATCAGCCATTAGTATGAAAAAGAAAATATTCTATTTTTAAGGACTTTCTTAATCTCTGATCAAGCTTGCAAGTTTCTTATACTTGCTTCCTTAGAAAGAGGGGAAGTTACAAAGACTAGGGAACTAAATTTACAACCTTTTAGCTCCCCCTATCCTGCCAAACTCAGTTTTCCCTGCTCTCAACCAGCATGGGTCCACAAAGACAACTGCAGAAATCAACCCATCATTGACGTAAAAGAAAAAAAAACCAAGGTTAACAATGCTATATCTCTTACACCTCCTGGAAGCTGCAGCTCTTCACAGCATCTCCCAAGCCCTGACCATTACAGACCAAGTCTCCCAATGCTGCTTGCAGCTAAGCCTTATTAGTGTTGTTAGAAGTCTGTAGCAGAAGTGGCCTCCCTACCTTGTGGAGGTGACATGCACTGACTCCTACCACTGCCACCCTTCACTCCCCTGCCTCTGCATTTGAAGCTAAAGTCAAAACGTGCATTTAGGCACAGCAAGAGACTCAGCAGAACTGATCAGCAACAGCCTCCCAGGCTTCAGACTGCAGTGTAGCTGCTCCAACCATTTTTTAGAAACTTAGAAATCCTCAGAATGTTTTAGAAAATAATTTAACCCATTTGATTTTATCACCATCTGTGAAGTACTGTGAAATATCAAAAAGAATGGCAGAGGGGAAGGCAGGGAAAAAAAAAAAAAAAAGGAGATAAAATTGGTTAATCCACATAGCAGGGAGATGAAGGAGGAGCAGAGCAGTGTGGTGTGCTGAACCAGCCAGACCCCTGCCATGCCAGCAGCATGGAGACAGAAGTCCTGTCCCCTCCAGTGCACAGCATCTGCAGTTTGGAGCTACAGCACCATGGCACAGATGTCTGCCAAATTAACTTGAAAAGCTAGTACACCCTTCAGATGGTAATGAACACAGTTTATTTGGGATGCTCCAAACCAGGTCCTTAACTGCCACCTGAAAAGTTAAGCTGACTCTTCTCCTTTTATTTGTCTAATTACAATCCTACATTAAAGAGATTTCCAAAATTAGAAAATATCAATAGCAATCATGTCCTAAAAGAGCTAGAGATAGGGAGGATTTGCTTAGCACATCTGCCATGCTTTTCTCAGTTTGAGTCAGAGCCTCTAACATTCATTTTGTATACTAAATTAGGCTGGTAGAAATCCATTTGAGCAATCACCGAGGGAGAGATCACAGAAACCTGTCCAACAAGCAAATGTCATGCTGCCAGACTCAGCTTCACTTTTTCCACCAACTGCAGTACAAACTGTGCACTCCTGTGGACAAGCACCTGTCCCTCCTCCACATTAGGGCTTCACAAGCTTCACGGTCACATCACAACTTTTAATGCTGACCTCCAAAAGCCAGGCTGGCCACAGCAAAAGCCTCACTCTGAATACCACCACTCAAAGCCTGCTGCTGTCCTGTACCAGAGAACACCTCAAAACTTCTGGTGTCCTTGATGAAGTGTTACTAGCCTTTCTACTGTCCCAGGCCTGCAACAATCAAATGCCATAATGGATCACTGATCACAGCTAGGTGTAATCACCCTTGCATAGGCACTGCTGACAATGTTGCACACACCTGCAAACTACACTGGTGTCAGGGACTGCCTGTAGAATAAAGCAGGTTTTCTTCTATGCATTTAACTTCCTATGAAGTCAGATAGTAGCATTACTACCTGTGGAACAAAGCACAAAATACTTTCAGTGCTTTAAATCTCTGTTGCTTTTTTTTTTTCCTCTGGAAGAGATCAACCTCACCAGTAAGAATCTATTGCTGAATGCCACTAGATGGGATCCAGAGAGCTATTTTCCCCATGGAAAAAGGAAGTGATTTAGGAAAAATACATAAACAAATACATACATACATATTAAAAGCTAAAGTAAACACCGAGTAAGGTGATAGCATCCTCCCTTATTTACCTGCAACACAGCACATATTTTCATCTTTCAATCACCAAGAACAATATTTTCAAAGCCTCTTGAGGTTTTTGAGTGATTCAAAAGGGGAGACTTCAAGAAGGTATATTTAAAGACTCATAGAGAATTTCTAGGACTGCTGGGAAACCTGACCTGGTATTCTTGATTATCGCTGACAGCTGCCAATTTCAGAACTTAATACACTGCTTCAACTTCCTGATCAGCTCAAAATTTACTTTTTTCTTCTTATTCTTGGTCCCCATTAAGCAACACACCTTCCAACCTTCCAGTCCTTCCACCAAAGCTTTATTTTTTGAATCTTGGTATCCAGCTCCTCATTAAGAAGAATGCTGCTGTCTCTCATTCTTTGATACTGTCTTGAGCATTGTTATTTTTTAAAAAAGAAGCATAACCTTTTCTGTATGATCTCGAAGAAACTATGCACATCAACAAGTGTAACAAGCAAAGCTAGGTCCCTGGGGTCACTGCAACTGCCTAATTACCTTATTATTTTATTATTTACTAATCTTTGCTTCTGGAAATACTAAACTTGATGCTACAGCAAAACTTACACAATTCATACTTTTTTTTTGAGGAGAAGATACACACATCTTCCCACTGTGATATTAATGGGTATAACTTTACCTCTGCCAACTGGAAGAGTGCCGACTTCCCACAGTGCCTTACTGGTTCAGGATTTGACAACTGGGAAGTATTTGATGAGATCTAGGTTTTAAATGAACAGAGAAGAAAATATTTCAGTGGCACACAGGAAGGACAGCAAGAAAGAGCGAAAAAGAGTGAAAAAAGTAAGGAGTTAGTTAAATCAGTTACTTTTAGATCTTTTCAGAAGTTACTTTTTAGATCTTACTTCAGAAAGGCAACCTCATCCAAGACACAACAGGCATTTAAAAGTCTGCAGAGTACAAGCAAGCAAGGAATTTCTTCCTCAGACTAGGCTCATGGATTCTCTTCCACTTTTGTGTTGTCCTCAGCTAATATTCTATTATGCCATGTACTTTATGTGACTAAATGAACAAGATGCACCTGTTGCTTAAAAACATGAACCGTGGTGGTCAAGGTCAAATACAATTCCCCCAGAAAGCCTGGACAGTATTATCCATTTGGTTAGATTAAGAAGAAAAACATTTGTCCATAAAGACACTGCTTGTTTCACTTTATTTAGTTAGAAGAAGATGACCTTACGTCTAGAGACCAAACCTAGCCTTCTAGTTGGTGTGCCAGCACCAGTGATGAACAAATAACTACCACTGCACCTCAGCTCATTGCTTTTGCAGCCAAATTATTTCTGACCTGCTTCCAAGTGCAGCATTATCAATTCACCAACACATGAATTAGTAGTTTCTCATAGTTGATCTTTTTTGGCATGTCATTACATGGTAGTATTTGACCCAGAAGCCTTTAAAAGCCCTATGACTAGGTGCAAGACCAACAGTGTTTCCATTACATCTGTCTCACCACAAAAATCATGCTCGTGACCATGATCTTTCAGATACAAGAACTATTAGCTTAGCTTTTCTTTATATTTAATGGCTTTCTTTTGAACTAGATTATTTTGAAGAGTTTACTTTTCAATTGTCAATGAGACTCATTACAATACTTCCCCCTCAGTCAAAATCCAGAACATTCATTTTACTGTGAGATATTTAAAATACGAGGAATAATACTAATGTGTGGCAATAATAATTTTTAATATTAAATAATTCAAAAATCCTAGTTTTGCTTCGAGACAGTTCAGCGAACCTACTCAGGACCCCACTGGAGTAAGTGATCTTGTACACTTCACTTTGCAGGAAGAGGACATCAAATTTTATCTTTCTAGTGTAATAAATTCTCAGCTCTTATCAACTTTTTCAGTCCAATATGAATGGTAGAAAAGGGACAGAAGAACACCTGCATACTGAAGTATATAACCTGAGAACATGCAGTCATATCTTGCCTCCTGATGCACAATGTGAGGGAACAGTAAAGAATTTATTTTGACAAGAGAATGCATGCTCCTAATCAAATGCAAGCAAGATTCTTGCAATACTAATAGAAAGAAAGGAACCCAACTTCTCACTTCAGAAAAAAATAAATCCCTTCATAGCCAAGTAAACAAACAGCAAGGGACAAACTTTGAGCTAATTCTGCCGAAGTTGCTGGCCAAACATCAGAAGTAAGAGGATGGCTGATCAATGAGCTTTCATTCCCTGTCTTAGCATCATCTTTCAGTTTTAGTTACAATAATCAAAACCCGCAGTACTACAACCACAAATCACTCCTTCTTAAGTGGATCATTAGGATCTAATTATTATCTTTCATTAGAAGGCAGGTCAGCATTTTAAGCTACTGTATTACATCCTAGTTTGCATAAGAAACACGTCATGGTAACACTTCTTCATTTCCCTTCAACACAGATATTTAATAATTTCAGCATACAGGCAAACAGCAAATATGTTTGTCTATTTTTTGTAATGGCTTTACCTGGGAAGATTAAAGCTTTACCTAAGGGAAGGCTAGAAGAGAAGATAATGACTAGCTTTCACACTCCCCATTTCAAAGCATTTTATCAGAAGTCTTGGATTCAAACCTTCTGCTCAGAAATAAACAGAAAGGGTTGCCTGCAAACCCCCTCAAAGTGAGTACACGAAAATGCAGCATGGACAAAACCATCCTCAAGTATGCATTCCTCTTAAATGCTAGTAACCTGCTGGATTACCAAAGGAAATTCCACCTTCTTGCATCCTGCATGGGATGGCGTTTTTGGTTAAATTACCTAGAAAAATCTTCAGAAAAGCAGCTAAAGGTTTTATGGGATTTGGATTCATTTTGGTTTTAAGATGGCTAAACTCACAGTTTTATTGCTTCCACCCTCAGCAAGCATTTTCTTTGTTTAATAATAGATGAGAGTTTAAGGAAGTAAATCTAAGAGGTACTTGCACTTCTCCATGAAGCAGTCATCACCATCTGTTCACATTTGCCAAACACACATCCAAGTAAGACCAAGAGAGCAAGGGGTCCCATCTGCTCTACTTCCCTCACATGGCCAGGAAGATGACAGCAACCAGCCCATGTGAGCAGACAGCTTGCAAACAGCCACCACGCTAAGAAACACAGCCCACTGCTCAGAAATCACTGGCCTATATAATGGCTTTTCATAAAGGTACAAACGAGAAGAAAAAAACTGGGGCCAAGTATTTCCAAGATCAGACAGGGAAGAGAAAGTCAAGAGTGTAACTTGGCAACACTTCCAAATCTCAAAAATTTCTTTTGAGGATGCCACCAAGGTGCCTGTCTGCACACTCACAGGACCCGACCAAGTCTTACTTCCAGGATTTACATTGTCTGTTGTGGCAAGTCATTGGGCAGGCCTCATTAGCCATGACAACCAGATGAAAGGCTAACTGATGCTGTAAAGAAGGAATAATCCCATGCTTCATCTACTTACAACAAGCTGTTTCTGAGTGACAGGGGACTTGTACTCGTGGGGTAAAGGTATCCATTTTAAATTACAAATCTACTCAGTGGGATCACTGTCTTCACAAAGAGGCACTCTTACTCACCCTGCTGTAAAGCCGGCTAAGAGAAAGGGAACATATGAAGTACCTCCAGCGAGAACCAAAACTAAGCTGGGATGGCTGCCAAAAGTCTCCAGGCACATCAGACCACAGCACACATTTCTTCACAGGCCTACTTGGCTACTGGCTAAATAACTACTTTCTCTCCCTCTTCCCTTTTGTAGCTCTGTACATTGCTGACAGCAGCCAACTTACCATAATTTACCTTACTACATGCAGTAATGCAATCATATAGAGAGGACCCTGTAAGAAGTGGTGCATGAAGGAACAGGATTTTTGCCAAACTGGACAAAGATGCCCTGTGTAATTGAAAGCCCTTATATTTGAAAGAGCACAAACAGCTTTAATAGCAGGAGGAGAAAGCTTAAAGAGGTTCCCTAGCATGCTCAATACTTTCCCCTGAAACAACCTAAATGAAATCAGGCTGCAATCTTAAAAAACAAAAAGCCATTTCTCTATTGCCATAGATGATGTTAGTCACTGAAATTAAGGTTTCACAACAGCAGTGTAACACATGAAGAATAATCAAAGCCAACAAGGGTTTTTTTGTTGTTTTGTTTTTTTGCTTTTCCAAATTTCTGCCCCTTACTTACAGACACTGAAAAAGCAACCAAAAAACTGCAACCCTTTCCAGATTGCACACACTTTTAAAAACTTTTACAGGGAAATAGACTAGTCCTACCTTTAGAACTGTCCTTTCCAGTTTCTAATTACCTTTCTAAGCTCCTCTTCTACCTAACATTTGATGTTTCATACATGCACTCTGATGTGCCAAATGAGCTGGCTCAGCATAGTGGTATGCAGCTCAGTGCACTGTCACATCCATATGGCAATTTTCAGGTTGGTTATTTTCTTGTTTGTTCAGTTAGGAGAAGAAATTATTTTAAAGGTTCTGTGAAATTTTGAAAAGTATGGCTAAGCCAGGTTTTACATGACAACTTGGAAATGCTGTACTAATGGCAATTCATATCCTGTTCAACTCTGCAGGTATCTAACACTTCTGTTCAATTAAAATATAATATCGCTAAGATTTTTCAAACTAAGTTAGTAGATTCACTTGTGGAAGACTGCAATCCAATTTAGAGGAAATACTCTCCAGCTTGTATCTTTTACTTGGTCTAAAAGGCTGGCTTCAACACATGCCTTCATCCTGCTCAATTCCACTAATTTTCTCAAAAAAAATTAACTTGTAACTTTAAAAAAAAGGTGACATAAATGAAAACATCTTAATGATTACAGAAATATCTCTATCGTATCTCTTCTAGGAGTGCTTCATAGTCAGGTATTTTATAGTACCTGAATCAGAAACTGTTTTCTTGTAATTGGACCTCCTAAAAAATACATCAAGGACCATCCTAGCCAAGATAAAAACTCACAGTACAGAATTAGCTTATCATTTAACAAAAAGATAGGTGCTGTATGTAGTCAAATCTCATTAAGCACACAGAATAACATACAGGGTAACTTTTCATGCCACTGTGCTTCTGTACGATAGCACCAGCTCCAATCCCAGCATTTCCAGACACTTACTAAATATACCTTTAGCATAACTGATTCTGCAAGCAGTACCAGACTCCCCCAAATGGGCAAGAAGAGGAAAGTCAATGGAAATGGAAAGTCAATTCACAGAGGCACATTAAACACACGGGAGAAGAAATTCTTAAAAGCAATCTTTAAGAACTCAAAATCCTCAACACATGGAAGAAGGAGGATAGCTTACATACTTAGGTGTAATTTATAGGCTTTATAGGTCACCACCTAATGATGCTGTTACATATCCTTGTAGCTGTTGTGATAAGCTTCCTTTGACCTGAGGTTTATTTTCTAAAGGTTTCCTGCCTCTAGGGCAGCAGTCATTTTGCACTGCTGCACCCTCTTCTACAGGTAGTGCATAGTGTCACTTCAGAATGTCTTTTATTTGGTTTCTTCCTAGATGTAAATTAAAAGGCCATTTGGAAAAAAAATGGCTGCAGCAGTCCTGTGGTATGAAAGGCCAGGGAATGCTCCCAAGTCCAGTGCCTTTTGTGCATGCTACAGCTGGTAAAAGTGGCCAACATCTCTCCAAATCACTGATTATTCCCCTCTCAATTTTCTTAACACAATGCTGTCATGAAGATTAGTATCTGATGGAAATCCCTCATGAGACAGGGTGCTCAGCCATTCAGTGACAACTCTTAATGGTTCCTTGCTTCCTCCCACCCTCCATCATATTTCAATCTTTATACCTCAGCAAACTGAAACAATGCAGACTCCTCAGTTTGTTTTACAGCTCCCGGGACTCCAGGCTGTGATGTGTTTGAAGAGATCTGTCAGGATAACAATTATTTTGTTATTATGTAACTCTTCAGTTTTAATGTCAAACTGTAATGTACTAAAGTTTTTGACCCATCACATTGAAAGATTTTCAGTACTTAACAGCATGCAAACAAATCCCAGCCCACCTGTACAAACAAGTACGGAACAGTATTTGCTTTCCAGGAAACACATACATGAATTATCTCTGAAACATCACTCTTGTGTTACTTTTCACATGGAAAATCTCACCCAGGCTAAGACTTTTTTGAGAGGCTTTTACTTGCCCACTGATATGTCAAAGGAGAGTAAGCAGCAAAAACGTAACACTAACTTGTATTTCATGGTTCAGTGAAAGATCTGAGACTGAAGAATGGTAGTGCTGACAGAGCACCAATTGCTACTTAGCACAGAAGCATAAGTGTGGACAGGAACACATGTACAGGCCCGTTAAGAAGAGATACCAGATCCATCCCAGACACCAAGGAAACTGTGTTATACTGTTTAACTTCTGTCAGTTATTTTTGTTGACAATGATACATCTGATTAGTGCTAGATTTCAGTACAGGTACCAATTATTTTGCCATTGACACACATATGTACCATGCACTGGTTAGGTGCAGCCTCCCTACAGGCTGTTTAACATCCTTGAAAATTAAGACTAGGTAATATGCATTTCCAATTACTGATCATCAGTGAGCTACTTCTAAACTGCATGTTTTAGTGGTGCAGATGAGCTTGTTTCTAGGCACTCAGTGAAGTAGTTCTTTGATGGGTAAGGGAAAGTCAGAGGTCACAAGCCCTTAGCAAGAGTGTGTCTTCCAGCACACAATTCCAGCCCACTACTACTTAAGTTGGGACTTAAGGTCTTGAGGGTTGATGTTAAAACAAAGAAAAAACAAACCAAAACAACAAAAAATAAACACTTTTTCTGACTGCTAGGATTGCAATGTTTTCGATCTGCAAGTGATGGTGTTCAGAGAGGAATACGAAGGTGCGCACAGCAATGAGCATTAAAGACATGGAAGTCTGAATCACAGCTGGTGTGAAAACAGTAATAAAAAGAAGCCTCTGCTATGACAAAATTTCTTTCCATATGCACTTTCTCAAACACCACCCAGCACCCTGTACAATCAGTATTTATAAAACTAAATATTTATATGTCACTTGAGTTTGACCATTTAAAAAATTGGAAGGATATAAACAAGCAAGTGATGCCTGTAGAGGACCAGGATTCTTTGCAATCTTACTCTTGTGACATTTATGTCAATGAAATCCATTAAAACTTGGAGGGAACAGTGAATATTTTAAAAAAAAACTACACAAAACTCGAAACAACCCCATCAAACCAGCACAGTTGCACTGCTAGCAGCAAGAGGAAATATATTGACAAAAATGTTGTACATTGCAAAACTACAGCATAGTTGCATAGAGCTATTTCGTGGTTACAGAACAGAAGATTTTTTAAATCCCAAAACTAATTAATTTTGATGGACTCAACAACTAAAACAGCCACAATAGATAAAGGACATAATGTAAGATCCAAATGAAGTTACCAGCTTCAGTTAGTAACATTAGTTTAAAACCAAGTGCAGTAACAACACATCTCTAACTTACTGCCTAAACCACACAGACTCTTGTACTTCAAAATCTGACCTGTCTACCTGATAAATGATCCAGTTCCAGAAACTCAAAAAGAAGCAACAAATAAAAGCATGAATTTTAGTGAAAGACTTCTGATTTCTCTTCCAGCTAAACATCAGATGCTTCTTAAAAGGAAACACTGGGGAAGACAACCCTTTGCAAAGAAACTCACCTCTGCAAACTGAAACAACGATGACTTCTGACAGGATTCTGTAGAATTAGTTGCATCAGACTGGCAAGTATTCGAGGAAATCTGGAAAAAGGAATGTGCAGAGTAAGACCTCAAAGCTGCTTCTTTCAAGCGAAGAACAGCAGTGAACAAAACAAAATACCAGGCAGCAATTAATAAGGAGCAGTGTTTATGAGAAGATGGGCAATCTAATGTTTTACGGTCCTGGACAGGTTTCATAAAATTTATAGGTGAACATGTAGTTTAGCACTCATTTTAACGCAGTTGAAAATCATCCAAGAAGAGAGACCAAAAAAATCCCAGGGACTTTTTTTTTTTCTTTTACACTTCCAAACCTTGCAAAAGAATTTTATGCAACAGAATAATAAACTGATTATACTGGGCTACACACAGAGCTACTTTGTATTAGTGATTCCATCAACACCGTTAAGTCTGCAATTTGTACTGACATTCTGATATGCGAAAATTACTTAGAAGCTAACAAAAAAGTTTTGAAGACACTGATGGTTGCTAAGTGACAGAAATATTTATTGGAAAAATAATCCCCAATCCCCTCACAGCATGAAACTAAGTAGTTATGGGTACCACAAGCCTCAAATTGCTCAAATAATGTACCTAAACATTCACTTATGGGTGCGTATGAAAGGCAGTGCAAGAAAGTAATAACTTCTGAAATCAAAATACAAAGAAATGACTGCTCAAAAACAATAGCCTTATTTGAATTAACACCAAGCTTGACCGTACTGTTCTTATTAGCCAGAAATGTGTTAATCAAGCAACATTCTATAAAGGAACTGTATCAAATATGATACATTCATTAAATGTCACACTTGAATGTGAACATGTAAATCCTATAGAAGCATGAGTTACCATTAGTATAAAATAAGGTATGTGACATGGCTTACAGGAAAATGAAGAGAAGGACACTTTGAGGAATTTTAGGAAGATAGCAGGATGGACTTTTTTTCCATTTTACAATTTTTGAATTTTTCGTGAAATTTCAAGTGACTTAAAACATTTCAAATCATAAGTGATTTTATTATTATTATTATTTATTTATTACCAAAACAAGTATGACAACAGCATTTATTAGTGAATGCACACGTGAGGTTTTGTTAGCAACTGCATCTGTTGCCAGTAGGCAAATAGCACCACAGAATAGCCAGGCCTACAGCACATGCAGTTCATACTGCTGCTGCTTGTCTGAGATGCTTATGCACTGCAATAGCACCAGTGGCTAGATTCAGTAATCTGCTACCCACACACCTCTGAAAACACTTGATCCAAGTGTAGCAACCTACAGGCCAAGGTGAACTATACCACATGACAATTTGCTTCTGTACACTGTAAAACTTGTTTTATCCCTGCCAACAAACTCAGCGGAAGAAGTACCTCCTATGATCTGTGCTTTTGTTATATCCTTAAACACCAAGCAGGATATTTTATCAGTGTACTATGGGAATATACCAACCCAAAGGGTTACAAAAAATTTATTTTTAATGCCTGTCTTGCTTTTTCAATGGTTGCTTATTACTACTTTTCTCATTCTTCTGCATGATCTGTTTACAATGTCTGTGCCTCAGCAGTGATGAGGTTGGTACCAGGGATGCACACTGAACTTGCTGCTGTTGAGTGACCCAATTCTAGAGGTCTGAGTCTCAGCACTGTTGTGAAATATGTCAAAATACTGCTTGCATGTCTGAGTGCTCATCTGGTTATTTCAGGCCAATTCACTGGTGGAATTCTCCCAGGAATAACCAAGTTTGGGATTTGTTTTCCACATAACTTAGATTTTCTGCAGTTTCACCAGCTGCCTTATGCAGCTTTGTTTGTGGTGTCTATTGAAGCAGTTTCACAGAATCAAAAAATCACAGAATTACCTTGGTTGGAAAAGACCTTCAGGATCATCAAGTCTGACAATTAACATAAGACTCACAAGTCCTTAACTAAACCATATCCCTATATATTATGTCAATATAACTCCTAAATACCTCCAGAGGTGGTGATTCCACCACTGCCCTGCGCAGCCTGTTCCAGTGCCTGGTAACTCTCTTGGTGAAGAAATTCTTACTAACATCCAATCTAAACCTCCCCTGGTGCAACTTGAGGCCTTTACCTCATCCTGTCACTTGTAACTTCGTTGAACAGAACCACCCCCACCACTTTTTACAACCTCCTTAAGGTAGCTGTAGAGAGCAAAGTAGTTTGTTCGCAAGCAGAGCCTATTCAACGTGCTGTACAAGAGAGCACTATGCTGAGGAGAAGCAATGTGGACAATGAAGACACATGAAACCTCTCTGTTCCCTGATGCCAGTGCTGCAGGGACCCATATGCCAGACCTCTGCCTACCCATCCCACTGGAGACGGAAGCTTTGCAGCTTCCTCTGCCTAGCTAGGAGCATGTCCACATGGATGTGTCAACAAGTGCCTGAGATAGCAGGGCATAAACCAGCCCTGAGCTGGGAGCCAGTGACCCATGTCACCCCAGAAGCACCATGCTGGAGTGGAGGAGCCCTCCTGAGAGCAGCCACATGGCTCACCAGTGCTGTGAAGCGCTTGAGCCCAGGTGGGCACGGAGGGGCCAGTCTCCTTGTCCCTGAAGCCACGTCCTGCAGGCAGGCACAGCTTCTTCACCTTGTGGTACAGGAGCTACAAGCCATGGAAGGTATCAAGCCCAACTTCCTACAGCTTCGTGTGTAAAGGGGCAGATTGCTGGTGCCAAGTAACACACAGGTCATTTTGTGGTTAGAATAACCATACTTCCCTTACTAATTTCCTTTATCTTTTAGAAGTTGATGTGGTTGCCTTTGGTTGGCAGAACCGCTAATTCGAGTTTGTTTCTTCTACTCTGCTGCTCTCCACACACTCTCTACCTGTGGGAAATCATTCTCTCCAGGACTTCTAATCTCTGCCAGGAGGAACCTGATCAAAGCATTAAAATAATTACCGGAGAGAATGGATGCACAGATAGTGCCACTGCACCCGTCTCATTTCCTGCTGTAACAAAACACCCTCAACATCTTCTCACTCCTCCTCTTTCTCCCTCCTGGCCTGCCCTCAGCTCCACCGAGGGATTTCTCACTTCTGATTTACACCCCGGGCAACAAACCTGGCATGGCGTGCAAGGTAACTTTTTGTTCTCAAAGAGAAGGAAACCACCAGAGTTACATACCTCCGTGGCCTCCCCTTCCCTGCTTATCACAACCTGCCCTGAAACAGATCCCCCCGAACGCAGAGCCCAAGGGCAGCCCCTGCCGCGCCCTCCGCACCGAGAGACGCGAGGCTTTCATGCCCTCCTGGTGTGTTGGGGTTTGGACTACGCATCCCCTTCCGGGATTTCTGGGCAGTAACCTACAGACAGGCCACTAGGTGCTGCTCTAAGGCAAGCAAAGAGCCTGCCGGGCGGGCAGGGGAGGCGGGCGGAGCAGGCAGGCAGGGAGCGCTCCCCGCCCAGCTGCAGCCTTCCTGCTAACCAACCTGCCGTGGGGACCAGCCTTCGCCCAGGCACAGCGACAGGAGCTGGAGCAGACCCGACCGGCGTTTCTGCTTGGGTGCTCAGCGAAACACGCTCACACAGACGCCACAGTTTTCTGTAATTCATGAAAGGACCCAAAAGCCTGGTGGAAACTCAGTGCTTGTCCAAGTCCTTCATTTACTGCTGGTAAAAGTCTGTGGCTTCTCTTGCCTATCTGCTTAGTAACTCCAGTCCCTACCTGGAAAACAATCATGTACTAATACCAAATTCTTTTATCAAAAGGAAAATTCTCTATTGAGAGAATAACAAAAAAAGGAACCTAACTGATGACACAGAGATGACAACTGAAGCCTCGAGGCAATTCTGTAAATATTGCTGCTATGCCTCTTTTCTGTCCTCCTGCTGCCACCTGTTCACTGTTACCTGACATCTGGGCTTCTGACAACTTGAAGGTTAAACACCCGATTTGAAAAGTCCCTATACATCCATTTAACATATGCTTGACAGAAACCCAGCAGGCTTTGATTACGTTTATGTGGGATTAGCAGACCTGGTAAGTATAATTTCCCTCACCTTCTCTCAGGTTCTGAGTAAATTATGGCAGAGCAGCCCTTCTTTCTACTAACAATTTTTAAGGTGAAAAGAGTATTTAACACCCATGCTTACAAGGCCACCCAAGTCTGTACAAACATATATATGCACAAGAAGTCAAACTGCAAGTTGACAGGTAATCTTATCTCTGGCAGTCCTCCACTTCAAGAACCTTATATATGCATGTGCTTTCAACGTACACATACATGCTTTAATGATAATGAAGACTATGTCATACCACTTAGAACACCATTTTAAATGCAACACTGCATGTGCTATTTAAGTAGAAATGCCAAGGTTCTAGATATACAACATGCATTTATATACTTACACGCATATTAAAAAAATACCTGTTATTTTCCATAGTTAAGCAGCTTCTGAACCTCTTCACTGTCAATACCTCAGCAGTCACCTTAGTACACCAAATTCTCACCCATGTCAAAATCAACTCTAACACAACACACCTAACCTGCCTTCACTGAAGAGGAAAGCAGCTTATCACCTCTACAATAAATCCTTGGCCTGACTGGGCATGTCATTATTACCTCCTAACATGTTTGGCTAACCTGCCAAAGGCTGGTTTGAGTGTGAAAGTTTTCAAGCACAAGCACAGAAATTCAACCATAGGTTGACCCACAGGCATGTAAAGATGAACATCTTATGACTCCTCTGTCCACACGCCCAAGGATGGGAAGCCAGAAGTGCTGCTCAATTATCCAAGCCTAAAGAGGTTTAGGATTAGGGGAAAACATAAGCCTAAGAAATATTTACTCCATATCTAATCACCGCTGAAACACCAAATCAAAAGGAAGCCAAGGAAAATGGAAGACACACCAGAGCTGCCATGCAAAGAAACTGAGGAAGTTTCCCAGAGCACAGAAACACAGTTCGATACTTGATCCCTGCTGCTACACAGTTAGGAGAACTAAAATTCCTCCATTTGGGTCTCCTTGAGAAGACCCAGCACCCAGGTTGCTCTGGAGGATGTATTTTACATAGGGGATCCTCCGAAAGAACTGGACATGAACAGTTTTGTTCCCTGGGAAAGTTCTCTGATACTTACTGCTTCTCAGATAGTGCAGAAAAATTAAAATACATTAACTCATTAGTAAGTACAGGCTAGTTTCTAGCCCATTCTGATTCCAACAGCAAACAAATCCCTCAACTAGTTTTGTTTAGGCTGTATTTCTGACAATTATTTTCCTCTAAATTTAGGAGGAATGCCAGTTACACAGCTTACACCTCTTTGAGGTAGAGGGCCAGGTTTCAAAAGAAGACTTCAGGCTCAAAAGAGCATAGCATACTATAGCTTGTACATAAAGTAAGTATTGCATCACAAGGTATGTTGCATGTTTCTATGAGAAAAAGCAGGTTTTATGTAGGCACATGGGAAATGTACCTTGTGCTCCAAAAAATTAAGCTCTGATTAAGAAAGTGCATATATTATAACAATCACACAGCATCTTTTTCAATTTTTCTCTACATCCATATGTAGATTTTAATCTCTCATTGCCATCTGAAATCATACTACTTGAGGCACCCTTCATGTAAAATCAAGAAAGCTCAAGTTACAAGGTCACAGCAAAGACTCTTCCTAATGGAACTGAGTACCTTTAACTACAACACACCTTCCCTCTCATTTAAACATAACAGCATAGTGAAAAGTTTTTTAACTCCAAGCTGAAAAATTCAAAGTTTGAAAACTACAGGATGTTCTAATTTTACCACAAAATATTTTCTTTTCACTTCTCTGCCAACCCTGCTCTAGTGTTTCCTATTCTTCATGCTGCAGCACAGAAAGCCAGCACCCACACCTGCCCAAAGACTTCCACTGCTCAAACTGGTGCACGAAGCATTGAGGAGTCTTGGCACAGACTTGGCAGTAAAGAAGCAATCCATCTCAAATGAACTACACATTTTGCATTTGGGGGCGTCACATGTAGATAGTTAATTATTGCTCTTCCTCCCAGTAATAACAAAATAAAGAAAAAATAAACTCTCTTCATTTCCACTGCTCTTCTTTCCAGGCTAGGGATTTATGGCATTGACTACCTCTTTTACCCAACATACAAGCTAACTTTTCAACAGCTTTCAGAGCTAGCCCAAAAAATAGATGATAAACATTAATCAGTCTCAAGAAAGATCAGAAGTTTCTGCTCTACTGGAGTTATGCAGCAGCACTTATTCTTACTAGACATATTCATAAAAACAAGATGTTTCTGATGTCAACTATAAACACCTTTTTAGACATAAAGACTTAATTAATAGAACTAGACTCAAATACTTAAATTACCTGTCAGCACTTGCACAGTTTCGGAATGCATATACAATGACACTGACTGTATGGAAATTATTAGGTATTTATTTTGCTATTAGTACCAAGGCCACAGCTGTGTGAAGCAATTCACAAGCATATGAAATCTTTGCCCAGAAGGGATTCCAAACCACCTGTTCTTTAACACAATGTTTCAACCCTTCTATTTGTGACAACATTCTCTCACGGGGCAGACTTGCCTGGTCTGATCAAATATTCAGTCAGCAGAGTTACTAATGAACTGATACAAAAATTGGGCCCAATCTCCACGCTTTTGCTTGGGACACAAGACTCATACTACGGGGTTCACACTTCAGTCCCACCTGCATTTACCCAAGATTTATCTTAAATTTCATTTTCCACTGGTCAAATATTCCTCTTCCAAGCTCTCTTTAAACTGAGAGCTTATGATAAGGGAGAGAAAAAGAGTTCCTTACCTCTTGTGCAGTCAGGGCATGTTCCCCTGCTAGAAGCAGCATACTCAGGCCTCCCATTTGTGTAGGATCTGTTAAAAAAGTAGACCCAAGTCTTAAGTTTATTCATTTGCTTGTTTAAAGAACCTACCACTTGCAGTGCTAAACTCCCAGAAGACTACTTGTCACAGACACTCTAAGCAAGCTACCATAAAAGGCAGTTCAAGAGAATCACAAATAACCATTTCTGTACCCTCTGGGAGAGGCTTTCAAAGCTGTTTGAAGGATTTAATTGGATTTGTGTGCTTAACACCCCATCGTGTGGATTTACAATTTTACTGCCAAAGGTTTTATGTACTACAGAGATGAATATCTCTAAAACAGCAACTGTAATGATCTCATACATAAATATACACAAAGATGCTGTAATATCACACTTTTGTAACTTAATCGATACTCCTACAGAGGGAGGGGTTCCCTTCCTTAGCCACTGAACAAGTAATAGGATGCAAAAAAATGACACGATCAAGCTCTGAAGCAAAATTTCTCTTTCCATTTAGCTTTAATTTAGAGCTGCATGTAGTGGTGAAAAGCACCAGCCTGACAGTCCTGAAGCATGAAGCATTTGATCCTCCGTGCCAGAACAGCGCAGGCACTGGCCAGGCAAGCTGCCTGCCTTCTTGTTGCCCTACCAATATAATACATAACTGAGGAAAGTAAAATGGAGATACAAATGTTCTTTCTCCAAGGACTTGATGCTGACAGCTTCTTGCCTCCAGCCTTCCCGCACCCCAGGAGCTCGGAAAACAACAAGAAGTGAAAGCAATGAACACTGGCACTGCATGACTCATGGAGTGGCTTTTCCTCTCAGAACAGCGGTTGCTCTTCAACAGTAGGAAGAATAATTGCCTGATTTCGGGGAAGTGCCTCGGGAGCAATGCAGGGGCCCAATTTAACAGAGTGTCATGTAAAGAGTGGGAGACAGTTTGTGGCCCAGAGGTCCCACACAACAGCCAAAATGTGACAGAAAGGTATGCACTACTCTTGCTGTACTGCTGAGACACCAACTTGGTAAGACACAGCAGGTTTCACTAAGCGTGCACTCACAATTTTTCCTTTCTCCCAACTATACAGAACTTCTCTCTGCAACAATACGTTACACATGTGCAGAGCCATTCTCTGGAATGGAGGCCAACTGGTACAATTACCTTTGTCCATTTGGTTGCATTTTGTTACGCAAAATCTGGATGCAGAATAGCTGCATTCAAAATATCCACTGGGAAATCCCCAGGCCCATTCCCAGTCATGAGCAGTGTGAAGGAATGTGTTGAGCTTTTCAGCTGAGACAGGCCAAACCTGTACATGTAAATCTCCAAACAATGTAGTGCTAGACGCTATCAAGGTCCAGTTCACAGGAATACTCACTGGTGCTATTTAATTCAAAAGCATAGATGCTGCCAAAAGTTCTTCCTCAGATGGCATCTTGCACTAACATTCACAGGCTGTTTTGTCAATTTCAAATTAGAAAACACACTGTTTAACATAAAAACTAAGAGGAAGGAAAAGAATGACAGCTAGGTGGAAAGTGAAAGTTTACTTTAGTGCTTAAACAACTTGAATACTGTAGCAGCTGTAGCAGAGGGCTACACTTGAGAGGGCTGATGCTGCAATGATGACATTCACCTGTGAACAGCAGTTGCCTTTTCCCT